TATTTGACAAATATAAAATTTTATAAAAAGAAGAAAGACTCTTAACTTGTAAGTTAATATTATTGATGGCGAGAGTTCCACACGTGCTTTCACATTTCTCTCTATCATAAAAGTGTGAACTTTATTTTTAAATGAGTCCCAACAAGTCCTATCACTTTGTTCACTTTCTATTCTTTTATCTTTTGTTTTTTCCCGAATTATTGGCCAATTGGGTATGTTGATACTATTGCTAAGTTGTAATAGAAAAAATGTGCTTTCAGCACAGAGTACAGATTAATAAATTACATATGAAATTCTTGTGCGATGTTTTTTAAAGTTGTTGAGTCACACTATGAAGGTTTGGGAGAGGGTGATGGAAGTCAGTGTGAGGAGGAGCGTGTCTATTTTCGAATAACCGATTGGGATTCATACCGGGCGTCCAACTACGAAAGCTATTCATTTGGTGAGGAGATTAGTGGAGCAGTATAGAGAAAGGAAGAAGGACTTGCATATGGTATTCATTGACCTTGAGAACGTGTATGATAAAGTCCCAATGGAGGTTCTGTAGAGGTGTTTTGAAGTTAGCAGCGTTTTGGTTGCGTACACTAGGGTGACTAAGGATATGTACGATGTTGCTAAGACTCGGGTGAGGACTGTGGGAGGTAACTCGGAACACTTTCCAGTTATAATAGGCTTTCACCAGACAGCTCTTAATTAGCCCGTTTTTATTTTCCTTGGCAATGGACGTACTGACGCGACACATTCAAGGGGAGGTTCCATGGTACATATATTTGCCGATGACATAGTGTTGATTGACGAGATGTGAGGCGGGGTTAAAGCAAGGTTGGAGCCTAGAAGTTTGGAGACAAATCTTGGAGTCTAAAGGTTTCAAGTTGAGCATGACCAATATAGAATCTTGATGATAGGCTAGGAACTCACGTTTTTAACAATATTTCGCACTCTAATTACTACACTTTGATTGTATTTGAGCCTATTTGTTGGTACTTTATACTTATTACGTATGTTATACTGTGTAGGATGTGATTTCGATTTGAGAAGCAAGTTTAGAGCTAAAATGGATGAATTGGAGCTTTAAAGTCTGAGTAGAAGCCCAAAGATTAAGCCGGAATCATGTACGGGATTCGAGGACCAAGTCTGTAGGTTAAAAATTAAGAAAAAATAATTACTCCGAAAAAAATACACTACTGCCCTGCGGGCGCGAGGTGCTAGTGCAAAATTCTTGTAGAGTAAAATTTTTTACCTCTCTAAAAAATTTCACTAATGCGGCGCACCATGGGCACCGCGTCTATGCATTTTTCTTAGAGTAATTTCCTACTTCCGCTTGAAAAGGGTAGTTCCATTCAGACCCGCTTATACATAGTATAAATACACCAATAATACAATTTTGAGAGGACTTTGACCTGGGAGCTTTTGGAGAGCATTGGAATCTTCAAGACATGATATTTCATCTTCCTTCTACCAGTTCAATACGCGAGTTTGGATTATGACGTTGGATTAATATTTTCTTATTCTTTAACTTTATTTGTAATAACTTTCTCCATATCTATGAAGTAGTTTACCTTAGGGTTAGACATGATTTGGTGACTTGGTTGCTGTTTATGGATTTGACAACCGTTAAATTGCATGAATTTATTGGAGGAGCTTTAATATTAGTTTTGTTCTTTATAGTATTTAATCAAAAGAGAAACATCTTATTAAATATTACTGCAGCGTATGCCTTAGTTTATTTTGGTGATTCTTTGAAGTAATCGAGAGAGCTTTTTGAGTTACCATTTAAATTAAGATTTAGAAATATTTGCGAGAAATTTCTCTTAGATCATTCCTACCAATCGATTCTTACAAGTTTCACCGTACTTCACATTAGTTTATTTGAAAGATTTAGATTTAATCGAGAGAGGAATCTGAATTGGAAGTATATGCTAATCACATATTGAATTCGTGAGAATCGATAGAACTTTAAGTGTGAAATATAACAGTGTCAAATTCAGAATAGCAGTCTTGCATCTATCATGCCAAAACCCTTAACTTCGTCTTGATAATAACCTATTGCTCTGCTCCCTAGTTCTCTAGGATCAATTGTTAGTTACTTTAGTTTTAGTTCATAGTCATTCCAATCAAAGTATTAGTCATCCTGAAAAGCGTTAAACTAGAAATTATTTGAAAACTATTTAAATCTAATCCATGTGGAGACGATAATTAAACTATATTATCTTTGGCTAGCGAGCATCAATTTCGTGTTGTGTTTTGCGCTCGTCAAATATTGGAGTGCAAATTCAGTGACGTGACTCATAAAGCGGACGTGGATGTGAAGCTTGATACTGAAGTTATCCCCAAGAGAGGTAATTTCAAGTATCTCAGATCTATAATTCAAGGTAACAGGGAGATTGACGAGGATGTCATACATAGTATTGGAGCATAATGGATGAAATGGAGGCTCTCATCCGGTGTTCTATATGATAAGAACATGACACCAAAACCTAAGGGTAAATTCTACAAAGTGGTGGTTAGACCAACTATGTTATATGGGGCTAAATGTTGGCCAGTCAAGAACTCCCATGTTTAGAAGATGAAAGTAGCGTAAATGAGGATGTTGAGATGGATGAGTGGGTATACCAGGGGAAATAAAATTAGGAATGAAGTTATTCGGGACAAAGTAGGAGTGGCCTCCATGGAGGACAAGATGCGGGAGTCGATGCTGAGATGGTTCTAGCACGTTAAGAGGAGAAGCATTGGTTCTCCCGTTAAGAGGTGTGAGAGGTTGGCCATGGCGAGTTTGGGAAGAGGTCTAGGTAGGCCAAAAAAGTCCTGGGGAGAGGTTACTAGGCAGGACATGGCGTTGCTTTAGCGCTTACTGAGGACATGACTCTTGATAGGAGGGTGTGAAGGTCGAGGATTAGTGTAGAAGATCAGTGGATAATTGAAAGTTTCCCCTTTTCTTACCAGTAACTCTAGTAGCACTCATGTACCTTCATATTCTTATATCTATATTAAGTCATGTTGTTTAATTCGCTTCGATTATCGTATTTCCCTATTGTTACTATTTGGTACTGCTTTTTCCTTTCTTCTTCTTTTTATTCTCTCTCCTCCTCATCTTCCTCCTCCCCCTCCTCCTCTTACTCCTTCTTCTTCTTCTTTTTATTATTATTATTATTATTATTATTATTATTATTATTATTATTATTATTATTATTATTTTCCCACCTTTTCTGAGTCGAGTATCTATTGAAAATATCCTCTCTACCTTCACTAGGTAAGGGTAAGATTATGAACCTCCCCAGACCTCACATGTGTGAATATACCGGTTTATTGTTATTGTTATTGTATATTATCAATCTAACTGATGCAGTGTATTGGTAGTTAATTCCCTCTTTCCCTCTCCTCCTTTCTTGCGTCACTTTACTTGGTATGGTGCTCAATACCAAAGTTTAGCCAAATAAAATCTTAGTTGTCATTCGGTAGGATGTATCAGGAGAAAGTAATATATGTATTAGCTTTGATATTATTAATCCCTTGTTTGATAGTATTTTTCAACCTATGTATAACTAATATATATATTAGTTATACACTCTATTTGGCATGAGCGAATTCAGCCCTTTAGTACCGGGTTCAATTGAACAATGAACCCAATACTTTTATTGCGTTGTATAAATTTATGTGTAAAATTTATTAAAATCAATAAATAACAGATATGAACTCATAATTTTAAAAATATGATGTTTAATGCTAAAAACCTTGAAGGTTGAACCCATATAGTTTAAATCCTGGATCTGTCTCTGCTGTTTGGTATTCTCTTATGGATAACTAATACATAGCAAATCATGGCATTATTAATACCATAATTTCTAATGCATGGATAAGCATGTATACACTCCTATGCAATGCATATTATTTTTTTATATCAAACCAAACAGTAACATAACTAATCCCTAATATTATAATCTTAACATTATAAATTTACCATATTCAGTATTATTCTTACACGCCCTACTAAGGGACCATGAGTGTCTACGTCTAATTTGCTTTTTTTATTTTGGTCCAAAATAAGTATCTATTTAAATAATTAAAAAAATTCAATTTACTTTTACAAAATTACTCTTATGTACATATTCCTTAAAAAGTTTTCTTACTCCTCACATTAAATATTTAATTAGGGTAGTTTAGTCATACTAGGTATTTTTTTATAGAATTTAGTATTTTCTTAATGGGCATGCCAAAAGCAAGTTGATCACTTATTGTGGACCGAAAAGAGTATTTGATATTCGAAATTTACATTTACGTTAGAGAGCTCATTATGAAAGGCTTAAGTGTTTTTGCCGACAAGAACTTCATTCCCAAACTACAGGACCTCAATTGAGTTGAGACCAGTGTATTTTGCTAGGGTGAAAAACATGCAAGAAGATACTCCCTCCGTCTCATATTATCAGTCGTGATTATTACAAATAATTGTCTCAAATTATTTGTCACTTCTTCAGAAGTTCAAGACAAAATTAATTATCTTTTTCCTCTTTTACTCTTAATAATAATTAACCTTGAAGACTACAAACACTTCAATCATGTATACTTTGTTCAAATACTGAAAAAAGATTACATATTAAGACATGAATAAGGGTAAAGTAGTCGAAATTTCATCTTAATTAATTTATCTTAAGGGACGTGTACAAGTGAATCATGACAAATAATATGAGATGGAGGGAGTAAGAGAACATCATGTCACTCTTTGACCGGCCAGCTTCCGTCGTCTTTGACTATATAATGCATCCTGCATTGCCGGCTAACTATTTTATCATATTTTGGAAATTAAATTAAAGTGTACTAACCATGCATAATCTTAAAATAAATAAATCATGTTAAGGTGATACTAATGATATGCAATTGTGTGTAAATTTGGTAACATAAATAAAGAGATAAATGACTGATTATAATCGATTAAAATAATATTTGTACAGATTTTTATAATATTTAATTCAGAAATAACTTTTTATAACAATTTGAAGCTGTTAATGACAAGGCCCCTATATAAGTTACATTCTAATACCGTAAAACAACTAAGTAATGTAATTGGGAAAGATGAGGTGCTGCAGGGAGGGATTTATCATTTTGACAACAAGCCATTCATTGTCAAGGAATTGCATAAGGATATGGAGTTTACCAGGGAGGAACTCTATACTGTTCCAATTTGGGTGAAACTACCTGGATTGGACTTCAAGTACTGGGGTCCTAAAGGGCTCAACAAGATAGGAAGCATGATAGGTAAGCCCCTTATGGTGGACAGGAATACAGAGAACAAGATAGGTCTCAATTTTGCTAGACTCCTTATAGAGGTAGATGTGGATTCTCCCCTGCCTGACAAGGTGCAATTCAGGAATGAAAAAGGTGCATTGATTGAACAAAGAATCCAATATGACTGGAAGCCAGTATTATGTAAACAGTGTCACAAGTATGGTCACTCGGAGGAAGATTGTAGGAGGAAGAAGCAAACAGCTCCTCCAAAGCAACAGACCGTTGATCCAGAAGTAAAAGACACAAACAAAGAACAGGGAGAGAATAACCAAGCACTAGCAGCATCAAGAGTTGAAATCACAAAGCCAGTAGGGGAGAAGGAGTCAATAAAAACTATAGGAGGAAAGATGAATGCAGAAGGATGGGTCCTAAGGAACAAATACAACATTCTTCAGCAGAACACAACACTTTCAGTGTGCTAAGTGAGAGCAGTACAAGAAGACAATCACAAAGCAGACAAGTCTCAAATGGGGGAGGCACTGTCCTATCTCCACAAGGTCATGGATAGCATGCTAAGCTGGAATGTTAGGGTCTTAAATACTCCTAACAAACAAAAGGAGGTAAAACTCCTTTGTACTAATGAAAATATAGGTTTAGTAAACTTACTAGAGACTAAGGTGAAAACTGGCAATATGGAGAAAGTAATAAATAATATGTTTGGAGGATGGAAGTACATTACAAATGTAGAGTATCATTATAATGGTCGAGTAGTTGTAGCATGGAGACCTGATTACTATCAAGTCAGGTACATAAGTGGTACTGCCCAAAGTATAACATGTCTAGTTAAAGATGCTGTTCTGCAGAAGGAGTTTTATATGACAGCTGTGTACGCTTTTAATACAAGGGAAGAAAGAAGAAGTCTATGGCAACATTATAAAGTATGAGTGGAGGAATAAATCAACCATGGTTGGTAACAGGGAATTTAAACTCTGTCCTGCAAGCAGATGATAGAATAGGAGGACTTCCAGTTACTATGGGTGAAGTGGTGGATTTCCAAGAGTGTATTGATTCTTGTGAACTCATGGAGTTACCATGTGGAGGTTGTAGATACACATGGAATGACAAACATGATGATAATAGAGTTTTTTCAAAAATTGATTGGGCATTTGTAAATAGAGAGTGGCTGGATAATATGCCAGTGGTTCAGGCTGTATATCTAATGGAGGGAATAAGTGATCATTGTCCGCTTAGAATAAAGAAAGATACAAGAGGAGGGAAGAGGGCTAGAGCTTTTAAATTCTGCAATGTGTGGGCTTTACACCCTCAGTTTATAGAGGTTGTAACACAGGGTTAGCAGCAACAAGTAGCAGGGTGCAATATGTTCCAAGTAGTTAAGAAACTGAAGCTACTAAAGAAGGCATTGAAGAAGCTCAATCAACAGCACTTCAGGAATATCTTAAAAAAGGCTGAGGAAGATAGGGCAGCTTTAAACCAAGCACATAATAGATTGTATTTTGACCCCTCTAATAAAGCTTTACAAGAACAGGAGACAACCATGTACCAGAAATTCAGGAATTCCTCTTATCTAGCTGAAATGTTTCTATTACAAAGGAGCAAAGCAAGCTGGATTAAGCTAGGAGATGACAACACTAGGTACTTCTACTCAGTAATCAGACACAAAAGATTGCAACAAGCCATCACACAGATCAAGGATCAAAATGGGGAACTAGCAACAGATAATGTAAGCATAGCAAATGTTCTGGTAGATTACTATGAAACTATGCTAGGAAGGAAAGAAAGAAGAAGAGCAAAAGCATTTCATAGCTTTCTGAAGAATGGCACTACACTGAATGTTATACAGCAGATGGAACTCATACAACCTTTCACAGTCAAGAAGGTGAAACAGGCTATGTTCAGTATAGATGTGAACAAAAGTCCAGGTCCAGATGGTTATGGTAGTGGTTTCTATAGGGAAGCTTGGAGTATCATTGGTAATGATGTTACAGCAGCTATATTGGAATTCATGGAGAATGGCAAATTGTTAAGGCAAGTCAACTCAACAGTAATATGTTTGATCCCCAAAGTTCCAGTCCCAGAGTTTGCAAGTCAATTCAGACCAATTTCTTGATGCAATGTCATATACAAATGCATTTCCAAGATGTTGTACAAGAGGCTCAAGAAAGCTGTATCAATACTAGTAGCTGAAAACCAGGCAGCTTTTGTTGAAGGTAGATCTTTGATTCATAATTTCCTTATCTGCCATGACTTACCGAGACACTATAATAGGAAAACATCTCCTAGGTGCCTTATGAAAATTGATTTGAGAAAGGCATATGATATGATCAACTGGGTTTTCATAGAGGAAGCTCTGAAAGGATTTGGATTTCCAGATTCATTCACTAAACTGGTGATGATTTTCAGATTCATTCACTAAACTGGTGATGACTTGTGTGACTACAATCCAGTTCTCTATTAGAATTAATGAGAAAACGATGGCTATTTTGAAGGCAGGAGGGTCCTTAGGCAAGGGGATCCTATCTCACCCCTCTTATTTGTTCTAGTAATGGTATATCTGTCAAGGGTTCTTGGTAAGATGAGTGATCTCCCCGACTTCAGATATCACCCCATGTGTAAGGAAACAAAGTTAACTAACTTAGTATTTGCGGACGACTTGATGATTTTCTGTAAAGGAAATCTGAAATCCATAGCTAGAGTGATGGAGGCATTACATCATTTCAGTGATGTTATAGGTTTGGAGGCAAACATAGATAAATCTAGCATGTTTGTAGCAGGGGTAGATGAGGTGACAAGGCAGAATATGCTGAAGATTACTGGGTTCACTTTAGGGATGTTTCCTATAAGGTACCTAGGCCTTCCTCTTACATCAAGGAAGTGGAATAAGATAGATTGCAAGCAATTAGTTGATAAGATCACAAGCAAAATTACAGCTTATACAAGGCAACTGTCATATGCTAGGAGATTGCAAATAATAATGGCAGTACTATTTTCTATATACAACTTCTGGAGTGCTGTGTTTATTCTGCCTCAAAGTGTGGTAAAGCTTGTTGACAAGAAATCCAGAGACTTCCTGTGGGGTGCCACTGAAGACAAAAAGAAGGTTAACCTAGTAGCATGGGAAAGGGTCTGTATTCCTAAACAGTATGGAGGTTTAAACATCAAAAGTTGCTGCAAATGGAATATTGCTGCAGTAGGTAAACTTCTATGGCAATTAGCTAGGAAAAAAGACACACTATGGGTCAAATGGGTTAACAGTATATACATAAAGGATAAGGCAAGTATATGGGAACACCAACCACCAACAGACTGTAGCTGGTATTGGAAGAAATTGAACTCTCTTAAGCTTCAAATAGCAGGAAGGTATCAAGGAGATAAATACAGGCTGTCAAAAACAGGAGAATACTCCATGTCTAAGAGCTATCAGCATATGTTGGGACCTCTATCTAAGACAGGGGAAGTAAAGCTAATATGGAGTAAAATAATGCTTCCTAATCAGAGATTTATAGTATGGCTGGCATGTCAAAACAAATTGCTAACCAAGGAGAGGATGCAGAGAATACAGTTTTGTCATGACCCTAAACCCGGACCCGGTCGTGATGGCACCTCTCGTGAAGACAAGGCCAGCCGACACACTCCCAATTCATCTCAAAGCAATTAAAATAATAAATACTAAGTCATTATCAAAATAAAATTCCAAAATAAGGTAACAAAATAATTTGCGGAATAAAATACAGCCCGACATCGGGGTGTCACCAGTCATGAGCATCTAAAATAATACTACAAGTATGAAGTCTACTCCACTACTACATAACTGAAACAGAAGGAAATAAGATAGAGGGAGAATGCACTGGGTTGCGAATCGCCGAGCAGCTACCTAGTAAATCTCCGGAAATTTGCTGGAGAGCTCTCAACCCTCGCTAGCAGGACCTGTAGCACCCTAATCTGCATACAGGGATGCAGGGAGTAAAGTGAGTACTCCAACTCAGTGAGTAATAACAACAAATGAAGACTGAGCGATATAAAATCACGTTAAACACATCAATAAGCTATAAGAGGCAGGACAAAATCATTAAACGCAATTAAACAGCGAAATCCCATAAAAATACCTGTTAAGCAGTTAAACAAATAAAGGGAAGCAGCTAGAAAAGGTAAACACATAAGAACGGCCCCTCGGGCACAGTAACAACAGTATCAGCCCCTTGCGCAACATCACAAAACAATACCAGCCCCTCGAGCTATATCTCAAATCATAATGGGTACCCGCGCTCACTGGGGGTGTACAGACTTCGGGAGGGGCCCCTTACGGCCCAAGCGCAATATCAAGCCATCTCATGGCATCATCAACAGGCTCTCGGCCTCATATCAATCACAAGCCACCTCGTGGCGTACAATCTCAGGCCCTCGGCCTCATTATCATAATCAGTATATCACTGCTGCAGCGTGCGGCCCGACCCAAAAGTGTCCTCATAACACAGGCCCTCGGCCTTACTCAGCTAGAATCTCATATGCCCCTCGGGCAACAGTAAACATGATGCTCAACTCAAAATATCTTTTAAAATATCATTTAAAGGGTTTAAAACAGAGTAAGCATGGCTGAGTTATGAAAACAGTAAAATATAGTATGACTGAGTGCAAGTATAAAGTCATAACAGTGAGGAAAATAGCAGTAAATATCCCCTAAGGGTCCAGATAGTTGGCACGAAGCCCAAATATGATATTTAGCCCAAAACATGATAACATCAGACAAATTGCAATCAAATATACAGTAAAACAGTCATTCGGAATGGACTAAGTCACACTCCCCAACGGTGCACGACTCCACGCTCGTCATCTAGCGTGTGCGTCACCTCAACATAGCCTAACGCTGTGTAATCCGGGGTTTCATACCCTGAGGACAACATTTAAAATTATTACTCACCTCAATCCGGCCCAAAATCTAGCTCGCAATGCTTTTGCCCCTCGAATCGGCCTCCGGATGCTCCGAATCTACCAAAATCAGAACGTAATCATCAAAATATGCTAAAGGGACAAGGCCCACTCGAAAATAATCAAAAAACAACGCAAATCCCGAAATTAACCAAACCCGAACCCCAGGCCCACATCTCGGAATTCGATAAATTTTACGTCATTAGATTCCTTATCTCCCCACGAGTTCATACATATCAAAAGTTCCAAAATCCGACCACAAATGGTCCTTCAAATTCTCAATCAAAGGCCTAAGTTTCCAAGCCCTAGTTTCTCAAATTCTAACCTTAATTACAGCTCTAATCCGTGAATCAATACCATAGAAACGAATTTTCATAGTCCAAGACCTTACCTCAATGAAGTCTCCTTGAATTCCCTCTCCAAGATCGCCCAAAGCTCCAAAATTCGTGTTTAAAAATGGTGAAACCATCTGAAAATCGCGAAGGAAGAAATATAAACATTCTGACCCAGGCTTTTCGCACCTACGGTCCAGAGGTCGCACCTGCGTGACCGCTACTGTGGTCCCAAGCGCCGCACCTGCGGTTTCCACTTAAGCGGCCAAAATCGCATCTGCGATGCTCACTCCGCACCTGCGCCATCGCAGGTGCGGTCACTTAACCGCTTCTGCAGTCACAGCCTTCCTAGGCCTTTTCCGCTTCTGCAACTTGTCGCCCGCATCTGCGCGGTCGCACCTGAGATCCTTCAACCGCAGATGCGGTTATGACAACAACCAAAAGGCTTCAGCTCTTAAACTCAATTCCAAACCTTCCGTCAACCATCCGAAATCACCCCGAGGCCCCCGGGACCTCAACCAAAAGCACCAACAAGTCTTATACAACCATTCAAACTTAAACCAACCTTCAAAACACCTCAATCAACATCAAAACAACCAAAACACATCGAATTCAAGCCTAAGGTTCTAAAATCTTCCGCATTCCGCTTTTGATCAAAAAGTATTCCAAACCACGTCCGAATGACTTGAAATTTTGTACACACATCCCAAATAACATAACGGAGCTACTGCAACTTCCGGAATTCCATTCCGACCCCTATATCAAAATCTCACCTATCAACCGGAAAATGCCAAAAACTCAATTTCGCCAATTCAAGCCTAAATCTACTCCGGACCTCCAAAACACATTCCGATCACGCTCCTAAGTCACAAATCATCTCCCGAAGCTATCCAAACCATCGGTACTCACATCTGAGCCTTCTAACACATAAGTCAACATTCGGTTGACTTTTCCAACTTAAGCTTTCTTAAAAGAGACTAAGTGTCTCAAATCTTACCAAAACCTTTCCGAACCCGAGCCAACCAACCCGATCACACATAGAACTGATAAACAAAGCAAATAGAAGCAGAAATGAGGGAAACGGAGCGGTAACTCATGAAACGACCGGCCGGGTCATTATATCCTCCCCCTCTTAAACAAACGTTCGTCCTCGAACGAGTCAAGAAACATACCTGAAGCCGCAAATAGGTGAGGATATCTGCTCCACATCTCCCGCTCGGTCTCCCAGGTAGCCTCCTCCACGGGCCGACCTCTCCACTACACTTTCACTGAAGCTATATCTTTTGATCTCAACTTTCAAACCTGATGCTCCAAAATAGCTGCTGGCTCCACATCATAGGTCAAATCGCCATCTAACTGAATTGTGCTGAAATCCAGGACATGAGACGGATCCTCAATATACTTCCGGAGCATAGAAACATGAAATACCGGGTGCACACTCGACAAGCTGGGTGGCAGAGCAAGCTCATAAGCCACCTCCCCAATCCTCCGAAGTACCTCAAAAGGCCCAATGAACCGCGGACTCAATTTACCCTTCTTTCCAAATATCATAACACCCTTCATGGGTGAAACCTCCAACAGAACCGTCTCCCCAACCATGTAGGACACATCCCGAACCTTCCTGTCAGCATAGCTTTTTTGCCTCGACTGCGTTGTACGAAGTCTCTCCTGAATCACCTTCACCTTGTCTAAAGCATCCTGCACCAAATCTGTACCCAATAGCCTGGCCTCGCCCGGCTCAAACCAACCAACTGGAGATCTACACCGCCTCCCGTACAAAGCCTCATATGGAGCCATCTGAATACTCAACTGGTAACTGTTGTTATAAGCAAACTCGGCGAGCGGTAGAAACTGATCCCATGACCCTCCAAAATCAATGACACAAGCGCGTAACATGTCCTCCAATATCTGAATAGTGCGCTCGGACTGCCCGTCCGTCTGAGGGTGAAAAGCCGTGCTCAACTCAACCTGAGTACCCAACTCTCGCTGTACAAACCTCCAAAACTGTGAAGTAAACTGAGTGCCCCGATCTGAAATGATTGAAACTGGGACACCATGCAACCGAACAATCTCCCGGATATAGATCTCTGCCAACCGCTCTGAAGAATAAGTAGTACAGATAGGCATGAAGTGCGCGGACTTGGTCAGCCAATCCACAATCACCCAAATAGCATCGAACTTCTTCAAAGTCCGTGGGAGCCCAACTACAAAGTCCATGGTGATCCGCTCCCACTTCCACTCTGGAATATCCATCCGCTGAAGCAAGCCACCCGGTCTCTGATGTTCATATTTCACCTGCTGACAATTGAGACACCGAGCTACAACCCCACAATGTCTTTCTTCATTCTCCTCCACCAATAATGTTGTCTCAGATCCTGATACATCTTCGCAGCATCCGGATGAATGGAATACCGCGAGCTACGGGCCTCCTCCAGAATCAACTCCCGAAGCCCATCCACATTAGGCACACATATCCGGCCCTGCATCCTCAACACCCCAACATCACCGATAGTCACATCTCTGGCATCATCATGCTGAACTCTGTCCTTAAGGACAAGCAGATGAGGATCATCATACTGGCGCTCTCTGATGCGCTCATATAAGGAAAACCGAGAAATCACACAAGCCAATACCCTACTGGGCTCTGAAATATCCAACCTCACGAACCGATTGGCCAAAGCCTGAACATCAACTGCAAGAGGTCTCTCCCCAACCGGAATATATGCCAAACTCCCCATACTCACCGCCTTTCGGCTCAAAGCATCGGCAACCACATTGGCTTTTCCCGGATGATACAAGATAGTAATGTCATAATCCTTAAGCAACTCCAACCACCTCCCCTGCCTCAAATTGAGATCTTTCTACTTGAACAAGTGCTGGAGGCTACGATGATCAGTATACACCTCACAAGACACACCATACAAATAATGCCTCCAAATCTTCAACGCGTGAACAATGGCAGCCAACTCCAAATCGTGAACATGGTAGTTCTTCTCATGAGGCTTCAACTAACGAGAAGCATAAGCAATAACTCTACCCTCCTGCATCAGAACACACCCAATACCAACTCTCGAAGCATCATAATACACGATATAAGAACCTGAAGCTGATGGCAATACTAACACTGGAGCTGTGGTCAAGGCAGTCTTGAGCTTCTGGAAGCACTCATCAGACCACTGGAATGGAACACCCTTCTAAGTCAA